TCGTAATGTTTGTTATATTTCATCAATCATTCTTTGAACTTTTCAGATGGAACAGTTTGGTAAACTGGATGTCACCGTATAACCATCTCCACAACACAAGATGGAAGTGGTCTAGTACATGTCTATCCCAAACTTGTTTCTAGGTAGTGGAATGAATACAGAGAGTATGAATTTTTATGATGATTAGGGTATGTATTACATACCCTATATGTTCTTCTCAAATTATGCCTCAGAATTATTTTCATTGTACAACTAACGTGAACTATGGATAATAAACAAACAACATCATTAACAACACGTATCAGTAAAATTCTACATATACATTTCTGCAGATTATTGGGAAAAGTAAGTATATTAGAAAAAACCATATACATTACATTTTGTGTTAAAATCAATAGTTTCGAATAATGAACCTTTGCTCTTTCATCTCTAATCTACCACAATCAAAAGTTTAAGTGTAATTCTATTTATTACAGTTCCTTATTACATGCTTTGCCTTTTCGTTTTGGTAAACATTCTTCCGTTCTACATGTTTCGAATTTTTGCAATTCGAATTTCAAATGATCCAATTTTACTGAACTCAATGCATATATATAACCAAGCCACATTGTACCATACAAATCTATTATTAAAAGTTCATTCATTTAAAATATTGAATTAATTCAAAAAATAAAAAAAATGACATCACGATATATATTCAATAAAAATTTAGAACATGAACAAGTGAAAGCATCTAATAAATATCATAATACAGAAACTAAGAGAGTATTAACAGTTAAATTTGATAGAGATTCTAAAAATCAATATGTAACAAATTTAAAAAAACGTAAAGATATAAATCGTGTAATTGGATATGAACAACAGAAAAGACATGATGAAAAAATTAAACAACAAGAAAAGGAAGAAAAGAAATTAAGATATGATGAAATGTTAAGAAGTTTAGATATTGATCCTGATCAATTTAAAGGAAATTCTAAAAAGAATGAATATGAAAGATTATTAAAAAAACAAAAAACATTAAATGATGGAGTTAATGATGAAGATGATGAAGATGATGATGATGATGGATTTAAATCTTCAACATTTAATTTAAAAACTGATATGGATAGTAGTGAAAGTGAAAGTGATGATAATACTAATAATAATAATCAACAATTTTTATTAAATATGAATAATCAATCAGATGATGATGAAGATGAAGCTGATAATAATGATGAATCATCGGAAGAAGAAGAAGAAGATAATAATAATATTAAAACATATAATAATAATAATAATGAAGATGGAGAAGAATCATCATCAGTTTCAGTAACAATTAAACCATTTAATTTTAATACAGGTAGTTTTGATTCAGAAGAATCATCTGATAGTAGTAGTGATAGTGATGATAGTGATAATAGTGATGATGAAGAAAAGAAAGAAGAAAGAAAAGTATCAATTCGTCATCAAGTACTTTCACTTAAACCTCATGAATTAAATAGAAAGATTGTAGAAATGCAAAGAGAAAAGAAAAAGGAAAAGAAACAAAAGAAATTTAATCCACAAAAAGCAGCACAAGATTTGAAAAAGAAAAAGAAATTTAAAAAGGAAGGTAAATCATTTGCTGAAAAAAAGAGAGAAGAAAAAAAGAAGAAACAACATGCTCAAAAAAGAAAGAGAAGATAAATTATTTAAAATTATATTTAATTATTATTTAATATTTTAAAAGTTCATTAAAATAGTTCATCATGCCATTCATTGATGAATATATTTATTTTTATAATTTATTAAAAAAAAATGTCATCACAACAACAACAAGTATCTAATACTAATAATAATAATAATAATAATATAATAACAGAACCTGAAGATACTAATGAATATAAATTTAAACATTATTGGGATTCTAGATTTGAAAAAGAAGAACAATATGATTGGTTAGGAACATATTCACAATGGAAACAATATCTTACTCCTATTTTATTATCTACTAATACTACTACTACTACTATTATTAATAATAATACTATTAATAACAATACAACTGATGATAATAATAATACTATTAATGAAAAGAAAAAAGAATTAAAAATCTTAATTATTGGATGTGGTAATAGTACACTTGGACAAGATATGTATATGGATGGATATACAAATATAATAAATATGGATTATAGTAGTAAAGTGATTGAAAAGATGAAATTAAAATATCCAAATATGGAATGGATTGAAATGGATATGTTAGATATGAAAGGATTTGAAAATGAAACATTTGATATTGTATTAGATAAAGGTACCATGGATGCACTTGTTGTTGATGCAGGTGATCCATGGGATCCTGAACAACACGTTAGATATGAAACTTTAAAAATGTGTAAAGAAATTTATAGAATTTTAAAACCAAGTGGTAGATTTTTACAAATTACTTTTTCACAACCTCATTTTAGAAAAATTGTATGTTTTATTTTTATATTTTTATATTTTTATATTTAAATTTAATTTTATTTAATTTTATTATATTTAATATTTTTAATATTTTAAAATAGTTCTTAAATCCACAAACAGAAGATAATCAAAATGTATTAGATTGGTCTATTAAACATGTATATGTTGAAGAAATTGGATTTGGATATCCTTTATTTAATATTCAAAAACCACCATTTAATTAATTATTTTAATACTTTCTCTATTTAATAATTAAATATTAATAAAATATATCATTCACAAACACTTTATTCTCGAAAGAAATAGTATTATTATAGTTTTATCTCCAATTGATAAATGCTCTATCTTTATATTCTGAACTGTGTGTCTGGTGCAAACAAATTAATCAGGTTGATGATAGAGAGAGAGATAAAAAGTAATTGTAGAATATTTCAAACGATGGCTTTCAAAAGTATAAACGTTAAACCGTTTTAAAAATTTAAATCAACAAATCCTTAAAAAAAAACATCACTCTCCCTTAACAATTTATTGTACTAGCACCATCACTACTTTCTCACTTAGTATTATCATCATCATCAACATTAATAGGAACATAATCTAGGCCATCTTAAACACATTACAACTATTTATTATATAATACTAATAATAATACTAATACTAATATTAATAAGAATAATACATAAAAATGTCATCGGAAAGTAGATCATCATCAACATCTAAAAGAAGACATTCTAAAGTAAATATAGTAAAACAAGATGGTATTAATGATTTTTTAAAATCCTTAGAATCTGAAATTGAATTAAATAGAGGTTATTTAAATAGAAGTAAATCTTCAAAATCATCATCTTCATCCTTAAATAAATCATATAATGATGAAAATGATAATAAATTAGTAACACAATCAAC